TGGCCCTGCTGCGAAGAAGAAGCGTGTGTACTCCTGTACTTTGTGTCGGATGGCAGATCACACAGTGAAGGACTGCTCTCTGAAACAGCTGTATGGGGATACTGCAGAGTAGCCCAGTAGCCGCTCTTTTAGTAACGCCTTAGTATCCGATTTCGCCTGTCATTTAGTACAATTTATAGCACCGTCCACTTTGTTCAGATTCTGTCGCTCCTCACGAACAACCAAATTCTTTTCTGTCACCCCCATGTTGAAGACGTCACCCATACATCCCTACAAATATTTCTCAATCGGATGGGTGCCTCAGCAAATTTGACCGCGTCACCCCCTCCACACTACAAGAAAAGCCATTTCACCCCCTTTTTGCCACAAAAAAGATCACGATCGCCCCACTAAACGCAAAATCTCCCAATAAAATTGGTGCAAAGCTATGCATATTGTGTGCAGACACCTTTTGAAGCTGTGTTCCAAATTCTCCCTTTTCAAAATTACGCTGATGGGAAAGGGTAGTCTGTTAATTACACAACCCTGATAGCGAATATTTGGGACTTGGGAAATGATGAGAGTCTTTGTCACAAGTTTGTGACCAGAATCTACAAATTTGTAGCACCCCAAAATCGTCTACAACCGGGGCACAGGGTTAACGCATTCACAGGAGTGATGATATCCGGTGAAATGTGGTGTTGACGAAACGTGAACTGCAAAAGGCGACATCAGGCAGCTCAGGGTGGCACAGAGCGGCACAGGGTAGTACATGCAGTGTAAGGGCGGCATGGACTGGGGCAGGGCGGGACAGGAAAGCACAGGGCCGTTCACATCGACACAATCCGTCATACAGTAGTCGCTCGAAAACTGCAACAGGTTGGTGGACCACGGACCATTGCAGTTACAGTATCGCAGAGTTGCAGTTACCGAACGGTTATGATAGACTTTCTGTCACGTGTTAGGAAATATTTTGCAAGATTTTATTGCCTTCATTGATAACTGAACGGTGAATCTGGAAAAGGGGGATCTTCGATTGAAGGCGCATCGACACTATCAGAAAGAAAAACATTGTCAAACCGACCCTTCCGCTGAAGTTTTACTTGGCCGTTCAAACGGACCGTTTCAGCCAGACCGTTTCAAGTTACCGTTCATACTAAGACTTGGAAACGGTTAGGATTCGTTACGCCATTTTTTTGCGTAATGCATCTGCAGAGGCAATTGGAAATCGACTACCGGCGGAAAACAAGGCTGTATGAGAGAGGCAGTTTAAACTCCATTGCCACTCCACTCTCTTCCTCAAATCGTCGCTTGATCTACCACCTCCCCCCTCAACTCCGCTGCTCATGTAATCAAGTCGTCGTTCTGTTCTGTTTCTTTCCGTACTCTTTCTTGCGTGGCTTAACCCTTCAAGAATGTTTTCATTCTCATGCTTGGTAAGATAACGCGACTTTCGGTCCCTGCTTGCGCTTGCTCACTTCGAATGATCGCGTTATCGATTTGTTTCCCTACTTCTTTAGGCACTGGAAACTCGCGCCACGCTAGGGCGGATAACGGTAGTGCATCTACCCATTCGTGCTGGGTTAATCATTAGGGTAATTAGCCACCGTAAGCATCTTTTGGACCGAGTTCCATTCAGGGTCATTTGATAATAAGGTGTAAGCTTTTTTCTTCACACTATTCATTTGAAAATGTTGACAATCGTATTCTGCTTGGCACTCCAGAGAGCATCAGACTGCGACCAGCACCCTGGGCCTTTCTGAGCCCACCTAAAGCTGCAACAGAGTATTAAATGTATGGCCCTCTATTTTCAATCTTTCGGCCTGCTCAAAATTTTCTTTTTTGTAAAAGCGAAAGGTAAGCCTGGACCATGTTTGTTGTGAACGATAGACGAAGCGGACGAGGCTTTGAAGATTGTTTGCCGCCTAAACATTCATTCAAAGAGTCTATTTATTATTTTAAAGTTGATCCGGTCCTGCGAAATTGTCCTAACGTTCAGTGAGATTTCTTTTTTTCCGTTGCAGTTCGCGAATTTGCACCGATATTGATTTTAAATTACAATTAGATGGATACCGTGCCCGATTCACACATATCGTTGCACTTAGCGGGCAGTTGCACTTAGCGAGTGTTGCAGTTATTGAACAACTACTGTACGACAGCAGTGCCAGAGGCAGTGCTGGGCAGCGAAAGCGGCGGAGGAGCGGGCTTCGGACGTAATGTATGAGGGGACCGGGCGGCATGTGGCGGCATAAAGAGGGGACTATTGCAAGAGGTACAGTAAGACAGACGTATTCTGGCTGGTCACAGAGAGCATGAAACCAGTCGCCAGCCGAATGATGTCAGATGAGAATTTCTGTAAGGGCTCTTTGTTGGGCCGTGCCTACAGTACCCTTCTCTCACTGGTATAATTTGGGTAATAGAGAGTTTTTGAAAACAAAAAATTGCTAAATTGTGGTGGCTATCCGATCGACAATTCTTTGTCACATTTTAGCGAGTTTTGCGCCGACGGAGAGTTTTTGAACCTTGCAAAGTAGTGAATAACTGAAACCCTTCCAACCCCGTACTGAGTGCTACAGCCCTCGCCCTATATCTTCAGCGCCCAAACCCACCATGCGTCAAAAATCGTACAACAAACGAGCTGCTGTAGCCAAAACACGCTCGACCACACGGCGACTTTGCTTGTCGATGGTGGCATGTCGCACACGCTCCATCCCATTTTATTTTGCCTGCAAGCGCCTACTACTGCGAATAGATCTAACCAAACTCATACGACGGATGGTCGCTGTAAGTTGTATGTCGTTCAAGTTTAACATTCATTCCGACCTCCGCTGTCTCCAGGAATTCCGCTTTAGGGGCCACAGCCATCATAGGTTTCAGAAGGCCGATGTCAAGCTGTGCAGGAAACCTGAACCGCTTTGTGCCCTGCCCGTTGCCGAGGGGAGGGGGGCTCGGGTGGGGGGCACATGTGGCGGAAGAGGGTGGAACCGGTGAGGGAGATGATGGTGATGGGGATGAGAATACGGGTGAGGAAGGGATGAAGTGAGGTGATGATGGCGGGGGTGGTGGGTGCGGATTTGTTTCGAGTTGGATTTGAATGGGGAGAGAGGGGCTAGTCGGTGAAAGTTGTTGTGGGGAAGGTGTGGACGGCAACGTTGCCATTTGAAGGGGAAGGGAGGCAACGCCCGTTCCACGGATAGTGTTCTGGAACAAGACGGGTAGGCAGGTGTGGCTTTCCCCTGTAGGCATGATGGGTCTTGCGGCTCAATGGGTTTGCTAGATCCAATTTTTGGCGGGAGAACGAGAGGTGGACACGAGGTGTAAGGTACCCTTCCATATGGCGTCCTTTTTAAATTCGCTATTTTAATTGATATTGCGACTTGTGACTAAAGAACGCAAGAATTTTGTTGCTATAGAGAAAAGCTGTCCTGCCACGTGTGCGAAATAACGATTTTTTAGTCACCACTTCGGCTTCAAAAACTCTCTAATGGTGTATTTTGGGCACTTTTCAACCCACGATTCTCTGACCTCCCCGCCTTCCACAACTATGCAGAGTCCATCTCTCTCACTATACACACACGCACCCAGCAGCACCTGGACAGTAAAGTTTTTTCCTCCTCTTCTCTGTCCGCCTCCTGGCTCGACGGTGGCGGTATGCCGCCGGAAATGAGAGCTCAAACCCTCGCACACAAGTGACGAATCAAAAGAGTAGAGAAGAGCGCGCTAGCTAGCCGCGCAAAACGCCTTTTTCTATAACTGAGAATATTAAAGAAAGCAGTAGACGCCCTCAAAGCATCGTATGAGTGTTAGAAGCATGAAAGGCGTGGCTTTTCTGACGTGCAATGCCCCTCAGATGCTCTCACAGCCTGCGATATGTGGAAATGTGGACAGTAAACACACACTGGCTATCAAGGCACGCGGGCGGCGTGTGTCAACAAGGTCAGTTGGTGAGAAGGGAAGTAAGGCGCCTGTTGGAAGAGAGGAGGTTGTTCGCAATTCGGAGAGCAGTTTTTGGACTTCTCTGGATGATATTTCCTTAAAAAAATGGCCTAGACGTTCTCCGCCTTGTCGATAAGGGAGGGAAGAGAGTACTCGTGCAGATCGGCAGCACGTCGCGGCGCGGAGTTCGCTGGGATTGTCGCAACTCCGATGTAAAAGTATTTATGTGGGTACCCGAATTGTGCCGGATGGCACATGGAGCGGCCAAAATTTGATTTTTTGGTACCGAAAAACCGGCCAGTAGAGAGGTAAAATGACCGATTTCAGGAAAATCCTTAACGTGACCAAGTTATACCAGTGAGAAGGGTACAACACTGTAGGAAGTAAACTGAAGGGCTTCACCCGTTTGTCCGAGAATGGGTCCTGCAGCGTTCTTCAGCAGCGGTGCTGTAATGTAAACATCTGTGGGTGGTCAAACGGAATTAATGGAATTACAGTCACGAGCCAAATAGGGGGCATGAGGTACAGTTGACGGCGGCTGTGTACAGCTGCGGGACAGTTTCTGTCATAAAGATGTCGTGTCCACGTGTGAGAGGTGGGTGTACAGTACACCAGCACCCGTATGCTAGATGGACAGTGCAACCAATCCTGTCGGGATCCACAAGAAAATATCTCGTGGTCTCCCTGCGCAGCACCCAAACCAACGCAGATGGTGTCGCGTTTGTAGTGCAGTCTCTGGTCCGTGACGCGACGATTCAGCTCTCCTGCACTTCCTGCTTCATCCCCTTCCAGCGCTCTTCCAAAGAGTGTTCCCCAGGTCACACTATCATCATTCTGTACAACCACCTGTGATCCTGCCCTGGCCGCTCCCATTGTTACTCAACGGTAAAGGCACACTATCTCACATACAATCAGGTTACAGGTTTCTGCCACAGCCTTGCCATACTGTGCCGCACCTCAACAGAAGCACCCGCGCTCCCCATAGCCTGCGGCCGACCCCACTCACTCTCTTCGTCTTCTCTCTTCTTCCCCGCACTCTCCCCGCTCCCCGCTCCCCGCTCCCCGTTCCGATCAACCGCACCGTCATGGCGCCCCTGCTCGGCGAGATCGCGCCGAACTTCAGCGCGGAGACGACGCACGGCCCGATCGACTTCCACACGTACATCGAGTCGTCGTGGGCGGTGCTATTCTCGCACCCCGCCGACTTCACGCCAGTGTGCACGACGGAGCTAGCGCGAGTGTCGCAGCTGCTGCCGGAGTTCGAGGCGCGCAACGTCAAGGTCCTGGCACTGTCCTGCGACGACCTGCAGTCGCACACGGGCTGGCTGGCGGACATCTCCGCCTACGGCAAAGGCTGCCCTATGGGCCCTAAGGGCGAGGGTTTCCCGATCATCGCCGACGCCTCCCGCGACGTCGCCAGGCTCTACGGAATGATCCCCGCCGACCACCCCGTCGATGACAAGGGCATGCCCATGACCGTGCGCTCCGTTTTTGTTGTCGGCTTGGATAAGAAGATCAAGCTTAGCTTGACCTACCCGGCGAGTACCGGCAGGAGCTTCGACGAGATTCTCAGGGTCATCGACTCGCTGCAGCTCGCCGTTAGCCACAAGGTCGCTACCCCAGTCGACTGGACGAAGGGCAAGGACTGTGTCGTGCTCCCGTCCGTGTCTAACGATAAGGCACAGGAGCTGTTTCCGAAGGGATTCAAGCCCGCGGAACTGCCCAGTGGGAAACAGTACTTGAGAATGACCCCTCAGCCGGACCTTTAAGAGAGTTGCTACGTCCTTAGACACCTGCTGCGTCGCACAGCTTGCATTGCTAGTTGAAGGGAAAGATTACTTAGAAGTAGCGGCGTAAAGTTTACAGATTTCCCGTCGTTGTTTGACGGTCTCATGGTAATCCTCGCCTCGATTGCGCTGCTTCGTACTCGACAAGGATCTGCTCATCGTGTCACATTTTCCCCTACCTAAAATATGCCGGTGGCGCCTCGGCCGAGGTGGTAATATGGCAAGATCAGTGTGGGAAGAAGTTCGTTGCCACGTCGGCTGGAGCGGCAAGATGCGAGGTGGGGAGAAACGCCACTTCCTACCGCTTGAAGTTCAAGCGGGTGTGTCTAGAATCGTTGTTCAAAAACCTTGAACAACGATTCTGGACACATCCTACAAGGACATAAATAAACATGTACCCTTCGGTAGATCAGGACGCCGCGCCTGGCGGGCACCACGTGTTCCAAAATGTGGTCAATACCCGTTGACAGAGTTTTCCTCAGTGTAATTTGTGGGGAATCTGCTGCGGCTTACCAGCGTTTCCGACATCCCATTGGTCCTGGTGGACCCGTCAACAAAGATTGCGGCCTATTTCTCGCCGCATGTGAAGGGAGGAACAGGGACCGCGAAAACGACAACTTCGCTTTTCCAAGGTGCTTTTGTTTAAGTGGAACATTGTATTTTGATGGTTTATTGAGGGGCCGAGGTGCCAACATCTAAAATGTGCTGTTGGAATCAAAAATACGGTTTCTGGCCTGATTAGGCCGCTTCTATTGTAGCACATAATGCGTTTTTATATATATTTCCGTGCGTGCTGCTAATGAATACCTCGAAAAGCCATTTACGAGGGAGTGAATCTTGCTTAAATTCAGTTAGAAAGCCAATGTGTGATCCAATCTGTGTTTGCCAAAAAGATCTTTCATGCTCTTGATCTGATTTGAAGGCCGGCGACACTTGACATTCAGTCCTCCTCGTCGCCGACCAGAACCCAGTGAGATTGGATATCTGCTCCATCCATGCGTTGTCGCGCATCGCCACCATACCAGCTAGCCACGAGCTAGCCTGGTGAGAGGCGCAAGGTCAGAGTATCGATATCGTGAAGTTCTTGACGCATTGAGGGCTGTACGGTAATCCACTTAGGGGAGATGCCTAAGCATCTCCCTGCCGTGTTTATCCGTACTGTCTCTTGCTCAAGACTACTTCCGATAGTGTGGACAGGTCGAGATCTCGCAGTCGCACCAATGGTACGTTTCTGATTCCCTTTCCTTTGATACCCGTTGTGCTACTAGTCACTGAAGATCCGGAGTTTATCTTCGGACACCTGCGGAGGGCGAACGCCCGCTGAGCTAAACCAATTTTCGTTGTCAAAATCATTTGGTTATTCTCTGAGACTGGTCAACACAATACCTTGATCGTGGTTTCCATCATGTTTTGCTTCAGTGACTAACAACTGTTTTCCATGTTTGTATTTCAGAATGGTATGTACCCGTCACCTGAATGTTGGTCGCCCGCTCGTGACGAAGCAAATTGGATTTTCATCGCGGATTGCTACCGCGTTTTTTTGATCTTCTGTGAAAATATTCCCATTGCCTTCCTTCTGAAGCTAAGAGTTCTTGAAAGCTGTGCGCTGCCTTCACTTGCTTGAATCCTGAATCTAACCTGTTTCATGTCTGTCCCGAAACTCGCAGCGTCTCATCTCATTTCGTCGAACTTGTACTTTCTAAGCTTGTAATACCCACCTTACAATTTGTACATTAGGAGCGGCAGGATAACTGTGCATTTCACTTTGGCCATGCAGTAAACACCCTCACGACAACGTTCGCATTTGCTGCAAAATTTTGCACCCGCAGAATGGTGATCTTTTGGGATGCGCTTTTCTGCAAGCGTTCTAGCAGGAATTTTCAGTCTCAGGGCCGTTCCTAACTCGCAGTTCATCACAAATTTTTCTTCTCTTGACTTCCAGCAGTGCGTATCTCCCAGGCCTTTAAATTGAATTTTTCAAGAAAAGCGCTGTAAATGGTAGTAATGTACAGAGCGGAAAATGCCCTTGCAGGACGTCTACGTTTCACATCAGAGAAGCTGCTGCGATCCCCTGGCAACGGCGTTGGTTCCGATCCCGATTCACGAAGTAGCAATGATTTTCCGACGCCGCTTGTTACAGCAACACCACCGAACTACTGCTGCCATTCTACTCCACGTATCAATCCATTTGGGCAACAATCTTTCCTCGGCTGCTTTCAAATGGGACTCTCCCTCGATGCTCTGCACTCGATATGTGCGTCTTGCACACAATATGCTAACCATTCTCGCGTCCATCTATACCTTCCCTCACACCCCCCTTCTTTCACGTCATGCGGACCACCTCCCCCTCCGGTTTCCAACGCTGCCTCCTCCCTCCAAGCCCATTTCTTTCCACCCCTTCACCTCCACCCCTTCACCCCCCGCTTCTCCTCCGATCGCTGATCCCACATTCGTCTTCTTCTTGGCCACCCTCCTCGTCTTCCTCTGCATCCTTCACCTCTACCCCACCCGCCATCCACCACTGCCACTCCCCACGCCATATTTCGTTATGGAAAGAGGGCAAATTCTGAGAAAAAACCACAGTCCCACAACGCGGCAAAAAGTAAGGAACAACTACAAAAATTCTGTTTTTGCAGCCATTGCAGCTTTGGTATTGGAAGACGAATCTCTGAACTCTGTGGCAGCTACGATAAAGTTGAATCAAATTGCCTATTCGCTACTACGCGGTCCTCGCCGGGTGAATATTGTGCGAAACAGAACAAACATTTCGTTCGAAGAAAGTACTGCCATTTACAGTGATAAAGAATTCGAGAGGGCTTTTAGGATGACAAGGTGTTCTTTCTACGAACTGCTAGAAATTTTAAGGGATGAGCTGAAGCGACGAGACACGCGTACGACAATTAGGCCAGCAGCGCGCTTGGGCATAACGCTGCGCCTGCTTACGGGAGGGAGTTACCTCGACGAAATGCGACATTACGGCATCGGAAGGACTACTGTTTACGAAATTTTCAAGGATACACGGCAGTCTATTTTGCGCAAATTGCGGTTCCCAAATCCTCTACAAAGTGATGAAGAACTACAGCTCCTTGCCGATGAGTTCAAGTCTTCAAGGAGGACAATCAGTCCTTTAACAGGCTGCATTGGCGCTTTGGATGGAATTTGTATGAAGATCAAACAACCTGAATCTCGCCATGGCCCTGCAGGGTTTTACTGCAGAAAAGGTTACTACTCTGTTCCTGTGCAAGCGCTTGTCGATTCGCGGTATCGTTTTTTAATGGTTTCTGCTATGTGCAAGGGGTCGACCCACGATTCCTTGGCGCATTCGGTTTCATCGTTGGGAAGATACTTGGCTGCTGGTCTACTGAACAAAGACTACTGGGTGGCAGGCGATGAAGCGTACAGTTGCAACGAAAGTTTACTAACTCCTTTTCCTGCTTCTATGATTCGTGGTCACCCGTATCGCGATGCGTATAATTTTTTTCAGTCTTCTTCACGTATACATGTTGAACAAGCCTTCGGAATCCTCGTAAGTAAGTGGAGAATTCTGCGTCAGTTGGAATATTCGTTGGAGGTTTGTATTGAAATCGTTATGGTCACGATGATGTTGCACAATTACTGCATTGCCCGCAACGGTCGCCCACACAGGATTAATAATTATTGCTCTAATTCTTTAGAGATATTACAAGAAGAGACGAGCGACTGGTACAGGATTGCGAAAGAAGACAACCTTGAGATGATTGAGATGGTGCGAAATTCTCTAGAGGCAGACTTGACGCGAGGTTCGTCGAAGAAAAGAGAGAAAATGGTTGCATTTCTGGAGAAACGAGGTATTCTTCGTCCTTAGATTTCTTTTGTGTGCTTCTACAAGCATAGGGGCCGTCCATATTGGGCGGGGTGGTGGTGGGATAAACTGAGCATTTGATATGTGCAAGTACATAATTTCTGCGCGTCTATCCCTACCTTCGCTCTCTCCCTCCTTCCTTCACGTCATGCGGTCCACCTCCCCTCCTAATTCCTCCTCCCTCCAACCCCATTTCCTTCCAACCCTCCACCCCCGCTTCTCCTCGGAACGCTGATCCCCTATTCGTCCTTTTCTTCGCCACCCTCGTCGTCCTCTTCTGCCTCCTCAACCCCTACACCACCCGCCACCGCCACTCCCACACTATGCCTTACCCTCCTCTTATTCCTCCGCTCTCTCGCTGGTCCCGCCCTCCACCGCCATCCGCGCCACGCTCACCTCCCTCCACGACCAAGCTCTTTCCTACCCGTCTACCTGCTCCACTTCTCCCCCCTCCCGCCCATCTCCGACGCAAAATTCACCCTCATCCACCACCAGCGCACCACACCGTTCCCTCTTCTCACATCGCTCCTCTCGTGCTCTCCCCCTGCTTGCACCTGCTCGCTGGCACGCATCTCTCTCGGCACGCGGTCTCCTGTCTCTCCGCTGCACGGAGCCGATACGCCGAGCGCCCAGACGTGGCCGCCTTGTTCCTCTACCGCCCTCACCTCCGAGTGCGCGCCTCATCCACCGCCCCGGACCACCTCGTCCACGGAGCGTTGGCTCAGGAGGGCGCCCTTCTGCCCCGCGCTGTCCCTCCCCGCGCGGGGACGAAGGCAAGGGAACCCTTGCCTTCGTCCCCAAACACGCCCTGCACCCTCACTTCTGGCTCCTCTTCACCGAATGGCTCTCCCACCGCTGCTCCGACTGGTACATGTACGCAGCCGGCCCCGGCCTCGACCGCACCCCGGTCGGCCGCTCGACCCTCTTGGAGTCCAACTGGATTCAAGCCCCGTGGAAAGTTCGGTTCTCCAAGTTCCTGCACGAGTACAAGGTCGTCGTTTGTAGCTGTAGGGGGTGTAGGGGCCCAGGGGGCGCGGGCGCGGCGTACACTAGACTACATCGGGCTGCTAGAAAAGCGCCTCGAAGCGATCCGTGAGTCCGGCGTCGACGTCCGCGTCGCAAGCGGCGGCGGTCGTATGGTGTGCACCATGGATAGGTATGAGGCCGATTGGGGAATGGTCGAGAGAGGCTGGGCCGCCCATTGTTTGGGCGATACCGAAAACATTCAGACCTTTTCTTCCTCAGTTGACGCCGGGCAGGGCTTTTACAAGGATGAAGAGATGACTGATCAGTACTTTCCGCCGTTCGTCGTCGTGGATGACAACGGCGATGCCGTCGGACCCATTCAGGATAACGACTCAGTGCTGTTCTGGAACTTCCGCGGCGATCGCGCCATCGAGATCTCGACCGCATTCGAGGCTGAAGAGGGTGAGTTTACCCACTTTGATCGCAAGCGCGTCCCGAAGGTCCGCTACGCCGGCATGATGCAGTATGATGGCGACGCTGGTATTCCGAAGCGCTTCCTCGTCTCGTCACCTCAGATCGAGCGCACTGTCGCTGAGTATGTCGTGAAGAACGGCATGAAGCGTTTCTCCGTGTCGGAGACGCAGAAGTACGGCCACGTCACATACTTTTACAACGGGAATCGGGCCGCCAACTTCGACGAGAACATGGAGAAATACACGTGCGTGCCGTCGTACAAGCAGCGCGAGCAGACCAGGCCCTGGATGAAGGCAGCTGAGATCTCGGACGAGATCGCTAAGGATCTTGACGAGTTTAAGCCGGATCTTATGGTCGTCAACTATGCTAATGGAGACATGGTGGGGCACACGGGGCACATGATTGCCTCGCGTATGGCGATGGAATACGTGGATCTGTGCCTCGCGTGTGTCATACCGGAGATTATTAGCCGCGGAGGGGTGGTAGTGCTCATCGCCGATCATGGCAATTGCGATATCATGGCCGAGTGCGGAAAGGACGGAAATCCGAAGCCGGGGTCGCAGCCTGAAAAATGGAGGGCGAAGGTGTCGCACACGAAGCAACAAGTGCCGTGCGTGGTGACTGGGAATGGGATTGAAAACTACGAGCTCAACGAATCTGCACAGTGGGGCGACGACCCGGACTGCAAGGCTGCGGGTATTGCTAACCTGGGAGCTACAGTACTCAACTTGCTGGGGTTAGAGGAGCCCTCTGACTTCCTGCCATCGATCCTTAAAGCGAAGGCGTAAGGTATGTCTTCAACTGAGTGGACGACTTGCCTAGTGAAATTTAGTGCGTTTTCCCTGATTTTGTTCGTAACTGACTGCAACGGGAGCGTTGAGTTAGATCTAGTTGGATAATAAGGTAAAGATGTTGCGAGATAAAATTGACACAAATGTGAGAGTGAGCTGGCGGTGAGAGTAGTACGAGATGAATGTGGAAGAACAAAACTGTTAGGTCTTATTCGTTTTCAAACGGGATAACGCGCCCCAAAATGGCCTCCTCCCTAATCGAGGCGAGCGTCATCGGGATTTCCTTAAACACCTTCCGCTCGACCAAGTACATAGGGAAGAGTGGAAACGGCATGGCGACGAGTTCATAATCGAGTCTCACTCCCCCCTCTACCTCGCTAACCGAATAACTCCCGACAAACTCCGAAAAGTCTCTCCCCTCGACCCTTGAGAAGGAAATAAATCTGTCCTCCTCCCTCTCGTCCACCTGGACCAGCATGCGCGATCTGAGTCCGAGCTTGCTCGAAATGATGCCGACCTGGTCCAGATACACGACGCCATCGCCGTCCTCGACGGTGCTGGACACGATGTTAGGCATGTAGCGCTCGATGCGGTCGTACGACGTGAGGACGCGCCACACGCGCGCAGGCGTGGCCGCGATGTCGACGCCGCCAACCACGCGGCGGCGGCGGCGGCCCAGTGACTCCGCGCGCAGCGAGACCTTGACGGGGTGGTGGCGGTCCGCCGGCACGGTGGACGGCACCCGGATCACCTCGTCGTTGAGGACGCCGGCCGCGGAAGTCGCGCAGAGGGGGGGATGGGGGGCCGCCACGCGGCGCGCCGTGCGGCAAGGCGTGGCCGCCACGCGGTTGTGCCGGCACGCATGGGCCAGCGGCGGCGGGCGCGCGGAGAGACGGACGGGGAGAGAGGCTTGGAAAGCAGGGCGCCGAGACATTGTGGGGTGAGGTGCGGATGAAGGGCGGGAGAGAGGGAGTGCTCGTTGTCGTCCGGCTGGTCTAGCGTGCTGCCGGTCGAGGCGGATAGGCGCTCGGCCTTGTACTGGTGAGCCCGAATTGACAACTTGTAAATTATGACTCCCTAATGCCTGCATTTCGCTTCTGCTTCTCGAACTTGTCGATAGCCTCTTCCAAACCCTGCTGACACATCTGAATTATGCGTTCACCAGCCCCAGCATCCTTTACTCGTTTGAGGCGCAGAGTTCGCTTTTCGATCATTTCGTACCAGTCTTCGTTAACCATTTCGTCGGAGAGAGGCGTGGGATGTTTTCCTGCCCCCTCCGTCGTACTATGCGCGCTGGCAAGCATTTCCCTTACCTCTACCCAGCGGTTTTGGGTCTCCACTCGCATTTCTTTTATCTCTTCACCAGCTTGCTCAAACGAAGAACTTCTTCTTTTCTTCCCGGATGAAGATGTAGATTTTCCAGCAGACCCGTACCTCCCTCCTCCCTCCATTCCCGCAGCAAAAGTTTTCAAGCTGACATCTAGCAAAAAATGGTCGGGCTCCTTCGTATCTAGACGACACACGACGAAAAAAATCCACACACGTTTCATATCTGCTACTACAACATTTCCCTCCTTATCGTGTGGCCACAAATAGTTCGGGAAGCTCTCCGGGTCATTGTTACCAGACCTATTGTAGTACTCGAAGCGTTGAGTAAACATCGATCGCGTCCTCTGGTACACATCCTTCAGTCTCTCAGCTGACCTTGTGCAAAGGGGAGGGTCTGCGGAACATACCTCTGGCACGGAAGTTGAAAAATCTTCCTCGTACGATACAGATGCATCATTGAAGCGCTTCGCTATTTCTCGCCAAAGATCTTCACGAGTGAAGTTTGCACGAAAATCTTCCAACGTAAGCGCATTGTTTAAATCTAAAAGAGCTTTTCGAGCATGCGAATCATCACGCAAAATGACACAGAGTCTCGCGAACTCAGAGAGCGAAAACAATGGAGCGTTCTTGGTGGTCGTACTTTGCCGAGATTTTGCCTGTGCTAGTTCCCCACCATCTCCGACGCCACGGTCCCCACACTTTCTTAGAGCCTGTACAATATCCTTCAATGGAGGAGGTGAATCAAAATCATCCAGGCTTCTCTCGCAATCCTCAATAAATTTATGAAAGCTGCCACATTTTTTGTTTGATTGGCACGTCAACTCAAATGTATACCCATCTTTCCCCCTGTGCCGCACAAACAGATAATTGCGGTAGACGATGTCCATTTTGTTACCCCAAGTTCTCAGTTTCCATTCCTTTGCTATTTCGGCGTTGGCCTTTTTGGTCATTCTGGAAAAGAACGTAAACATTTTCGTACTTTCAGGTATGTCTTTGACACATGTATCTCCATCTGCCTGTAATAAAGCCCTCGGGTGCAGTGGAGAAGCACTGTCAGTGTAACTAGAGTAGCCACATCGCGGTTCTTCCAAATTGGACGGTGGTGTGGTTATTTCATCTTGCAGCGCTTTAGAAAGTACAGTTCGCCTGGGAGATCGCCTTGGAGATCGGCGTGGGGATGGGCGTGAGACTGGCGCAATATCCATCACTTTGAAGGGGAGAGGGAGGGTGGAGAGGAGAGAGAGAAGAAGGAGATTGGGGAATGAGGGGATTAGGAGAGGAGGAGAAGAGGGGTCAAGCCAAGCAAATGGAGTCGATGGCCAGTGCAGTTGCAGTGGTGGTAGCCTGCACATTCTGCCATGACCTTGCCACTCCCGCTTCATATGCTGTCGTGGAGTTGCTCCGTGAGAGTGCAATCCGGATCGGACGCGGAAAGTATTGTACGGTTTTCTTGTTTCTGCTCTGCTCACGACGCTTCCCGTGGCCATTCAGAGAGTTCCACTTGCCCCTTCTTCTCCTTGTGCAGTGTTGTGCAACCAGAATAAGGACCAGTAGCGCACCTGCACTTGTTGTGACTCTTCGCTACTTACAGTCAGGAGATTAAGTTTAATGTCAAAGATTAACATCGAACTGTCCAATGAACAAAGTACAAGTTATAAGTGGTATGATAGGGAGATTCGGGTAGGAATCATCCCGGACTCTGGAACGGGTCTCATAGTATCGCACCACAACGGCCGGGACAGAAACACGGGGTAACGAAAAGGTCGCTGATTTAGCAATAAATTAATGTCGGCACGTCACTCAAAAAGTCTATGAACATAGCACTTGAACATGCGAACGAGAGCCTTCTCGGAGAACGCTCGTGTTCGCATGTTTAAGTTATTGTTTCCCCGGCGGCGCCGCTACGTCCGGTGCGTTAGCAGGCTGTGGGTTATGTTTTTCCTCGTAGGCGGCGCTAATCTGCCTATTCTTCTCCAATATATCGTAGAGCATGCGATCGACGGCATGTCTCTCGGCACGAGTGACGGCGGGGCCACTCTCTTCCTTTTCCCTAGGCTCAGCCCCCACGGGTGGAGGGTTCCACACGTACTTGCCCTGTCCAGAAAACTCGACCGAGCTCTGCATAGTCTCAAAGGCGCCCTTCAAATGATGGAGCGACTGCAGCATCCTCGTGGATAGGATGGCGTGGATGGACGGGGCTTGATAAATGTTGCCGTCATGTATGTAGTAGGTGGCGAGCGGCTCGAGCTTGGGAGGGTCGAGCGTGCGCTCCGACTTGGTGATGATGAAAAGGCCCGGGGCGGGGTTGCCGGTGAGGCTGTACTCGATGCCCTTCATGCTGCGCAGCAAGGCCGGGTCCAGACGCTGCATGCGGATGATCTCGTTGTTGCAATTCTTGTCGTAGAACTGGGACATGGAGAAGTAGAGCATGGCGCTTTGGTCGTTGAGAGGAAAGTACTGCAGCCAGACTTTGTCGTTCCACATGACCTGGGTGAGATCATCATCGTCGGAAGGCGTCATGTTGGTCGACTCGGCCACCATGGCAGGGGGGGGGGGGGGGGGGGGGGGGG